CGTGTGTGCGTGTGTGCGTGTGTGTGTGTGTGTGTGTGTGTGTGTGGTGTTGTATTAAAGTCCTAAGCACACTGCTTTTTTTTTTTTTATCGACATGGGTGGGTTCACCCACATTTTAGAAATTGGTTATGAAGTGAAAAGTCAGAGCATATTTCACTTAGAATGTTAAAAATCAGTGTGTATCCAACTTTGGCAACTAAAAAATTTTGAAAATGCAATTAAAATGATACATGAAGATTGGCAGAGGCATGGCACATAATAAGAAAACTAGCAATATGGAAATGTATTCAAAAGTAATGGGGTTGTTTTTATTTATTTTTATTTTTTTCTTAAGTCTGCACAGTATGCCATGGGTGTATGTATGATGTATAATGATCCATAAATGGCTTTACTTATCAGTTATCTTGGCTTTGCCTCAGACAGGTGTGTCTGGGCCCTTTGCCTTCCACCTGTTTCTTTTATTATTCTTCTGCAAATAGGGTTTACAATTTGTTTGAGAACAAACCCACCTCAAAGGGCAATTAACAAGCATGAGAAATACATCCGAATCTATTTTCCACAAACTGCTGTGACAGACATTTGGCAATTTAACTAACGTCTTCTTCCTAGCATTTCCCTATTGGACCAGCATTTTAGATGAACCTTCTCCAAATGTTCCACGTAGGGTGTTCCTTTTAATACTAATAATAATGCATCCGATTTATATAGCGTTTTTCTCTAGTTTTTTTCTCCCTCCCTTGTTTAATTATTTGGAAAAAGTTCTGTTGGTGTTTTGGATGACATTTCCGGATGAATCTGAAATATATTATAACCTTTACAGGTGAACTTATATTGACATTCTTTAAACTTTCAAATACATATGTACATCTGTTCAACATTTCAGTTTGAATTCCCAATGTGTTTGATTCATAAAAAATGTGCAATGATGTCACTTCTATGCCTTCCTGTGACTCTTGCAGACTTTTTTATTTTATCTTTGTTTCTTCCAGCTGATGAAAGGTTCATTTGTAGCAGTTGCCCTTTTTAAATGCCTTGAGTTGGTTTGATCGTCCTGGAAATGGAATGCATTCCCCTTTTTTCTGAGCAGTTGATTATTTTTCATTCTTCTTTCAACAGGGGGGGAAAATGATTCAAATGGGAAAAAAATGTAAAAAAAACAAACAAATATTCTGAAAAAAAAGAAAATTCATAAAACAGAAAACTCTGAAAAACTGAAAACAATTCTGAAAAAAGAAGAAAAATGACAAAAAAACAGAAAAAAATATGCTGAAATCGGAAAAATATTACTCCCCAGAAACAGACCAACAATAAAATAATTATTCCCAAAACAGAAAAAAAATTGCATAAAATATTCCATAAAACAGAAAAAGTATTATTCCAAAAAACAGTGAAAATATTCCGGAAAAACAATATTCATAAGACAACAGAAAAAAATATGAAACACAGAAATAAAACAAACTGGAAAAAAAAATCAAGAAAAAATTTGAAATTTAACACACACAAAAGAGTTCTTTTCTTTTCCATTAGTACGTAATAACCTTCCAAAGACAAAAACACTATTTTTTTTCAATCCCAAATGAAGCTGAAATGTTCTTGCATTTGCCCATTGATTAAAAGCTGGGCAACCAATTGTCTATTATACTTGGGAGGGGTTCTCAAAGGGATATTAAATGATTCATATGGTAGTTTACCTTCTGCGTGGAGTTAATAATAAGGTGGTGATTGGGTTACAATGCACAATAGCTGACAAAAAAAAGGA